GCCGAAGGATATAAATAAGGCAACAAGGGCAGAGGTAAGGGAATTTGTGAATTAACTCCTTGGAACATTTCAGTGATTCAAAAGCTTCAGTTAAGTAGCTTGGCTTAACCCTACTTGTTCTTGAAAAATCTGCATCTGATAGCTGAGGGAGGAACTAACTTTTCCAATACTGGACTGGTTTCACTATTGGTTTGTAATAGTGATATTGCTCCTTTGAAATAAAACAAAATAAGCAAGCACAAGTAAACAATGATGCTGCTCTCGTTGACAGTGAGTGTTCCTCCATTTCAACAACAAGCTCTGGTCCTGATGAAGGCTGAGCCTATCCTATGGATGTATAGCTATGCTGATCTATGCTAGCTGGCCAAAGACAAGTAGAAAGGGTCTATGGGTAGTGAACAAAGAAGAACTGAGGAGTGCCCAGCGCCCTGAAGATCAGGGGAGAGCTGGAAAACAGAGAACTGCAGAGTTTGAGATAGAAGAAGTAGATTCCAGCAAGTCTGGAGTGAAGGAAAGAATGAGTGGAACCTTCTAGTATATATGCTGCCGAAGTGAGCACTGAGTGGAACGTTCTAAAACCAAGCCTTTTAAGACTCAGAACTTGGCCAGAGGTATTCAGTGTCGTAGCAGGTTATGCATTGGACTCAGCAGTGCAAAACCACTTGACAGCTTTGGAAGCCCACGGGGACGGTCTACCTGTCCTATTGGGTCATTACTGTATTAGTGGGAATCCACTTGACGGCCGTGAGTTTGGAGTTTGTTTTGTTTTATAGCCCAAAGCTTAGCAGCAAGGTCCCATTAACTCCCAAGTCAGGAGAGCCAGACAGGTATCTTGGGCCTGGTCTTTGAATGAAAGCAAGAGACAACTAAAGAAATGGGCTTCCCAGAGGGGGATGAATGCAGGACACGTGGCCTGGCTGTTTGATGTGACTCCAGGGAGGACAGGGTGGATCTCTGTATAGTTCTGCAGCTATTGACCAGGACACAGGTCCTAAGAGAGCCTCAGTCGGTCCTAGGAAAATTCTGAGCAAAAGCTACTGTCAGGGCCAGGTCAGACAAAGATCTTTGCTGGGCTTCTAGTTCCTCCTCCATACACTAATAATGGAGAGCTGTAAGAATCAACCTAAGAGCTTGGGAGTGAAAATGCTTTGGTAATGGAATAACTGGTACTTGCCAGAGTCATTATCCTTCTCTTCTTCCTCACCCTTAATGATCTGAATCATAGGGATGCCTACTGCTTCTATATCCATTCTTGAAAATAAAGCCCAGAATCCTCCCAAGTCATACACGATGGCCTCAAGGCCTCTGCTGAACGTCTGGGCTGCACCATGTGCAGAAAGGTGGTTCCTTCAGTAGGTGCATGGGAGCTGGGATCGTGTTTCTTCATTCAATGAGCTCTCCAAAGAAAGAATTCTGTAAATGTTTCAGCAGTCAATTAGTCCACAAGTATGAAATGAAGCCACCACATGTCTTCTGTTTCACCGAAGACTTGGGGGGCTCTGTTGTATAGTTGTAACCATGATCTCTTTCCGGAGAGGCTGGACCCAGAACAGGAAGCTCCAGCAACAGTGATTGTCCAACAACTCTCAGCATTCATTCAGAGACATCCTGCAGGCTCCGGAGAATGCCGTGAGACAAGCTGCTCCCGAGTTGCAGGGCTCAAGCCATGGGAAAGCCCACTCTAGAATTATGACATCTCATTTGCACAGCAAGCTCTGTGTTCACTGCTACCGCACTGGGGCATGGCACCTCTGCTTTGACAAGAGTCCTCCTTGTGGTGGGAATGCTGGTGAGCGGTTCAGAGCATGAATGAGTGCCTGGGGCCCGGGCAGAGAGGTGCCAGGGCCATAGGCTTCTTTGGTTGGTAACCTTCAGGAACTCAGAGGCGAGCAAAGGCAAGCGCAGGCTGGAGTCCAAAACCTCTTGACTAGATGGCGATAACCAGAGCCAGGTTGGGTCCCAAGACTTCCCCCCAGCAGAGACCCAGTCTACTTTCAAAGACTGGACAGGAAGGGAAATCCAGCAGGTGAGAGGCCAAATGGAGTTCTAGTTCTCCGCCTTCAGTGCACAAAGAGAGGTAACCTCACCTCACCATTGAACACTGGGTTGAGTCAGGAACCTGGGCTCAACTGTACATGGCCCATGGCCGGCTGGATAACCGTTAGGTGGGTCATTCAACCTCTCTGTCTCAGTTCCCACATCTTTCAAAAGGGAATAAGAAAGTGGCTTCCTCATAGTATTGCTAGGATAAACAAACAGATAAAAATGGAATACTCCATGTAAAACATGAAAAAAATGGAAAATGCTCTTCAAGATATGATCATTCAAAAAGATGTTTAAGATAGATATTTGGAATCTTCAAGGTTCACACACCCCCTCTTCCCACGCCCAGCTTTTTTATTCTTCCTCAAAAAGAAAGCCCTTTTCCTTATTCAAAGAACTCTGTGTGTAATTTGTGTAACCTGAACTCTGTCTCAGTCAAGTAGATCCAGAAGTTCCTCTGGGTCAGAATAATAATTTTGGGGTCCTTTTCCTGGTCATTCAAACCATGAATAAAGTGTCTAGAAATGACAGGTCTCCTGCCCTTCAAACCTTGGCCTGGATCTCAGTTGATATGGACCAGGGGGAGCTCAAAATGAGAAGACGGGGTTTCTAGAAGCTTCACTAATTCCACTGCCAACCCTTCACACAGACGGGTAGCAACCTATTGCCACGTAGACCACGGGGTCACCCACCGAGGCAGCACAGACCCCATGCTTCTGTGGAGGCACTGAGCTCCCTCCCCACACTGCATAAGAACAGAACTGCTGCTCGCTTAGTCAGAAGCAACATTTTCTACCTGGTTTCTCCCACCCCTTGAGTCCCATGCTTCCCTCCTTCTGAGCTAGCTGTCCTCTGGCCATGTTGTAGCTTCCACAAGAGAACACCAGAGATCAAAATGTAACTTCTTTCCCAGTTCCCAGTCTCAGAGACGTAATCCAGTGAGCTAAGACAAGCTGGGCCGCCAAGCCTCTGCGCTCTGATTTCCCTTACCACGGCTAGAGACTTATCTAAAATTTAGCCAGAACCCTGTTTCTATTGGAAATCCTTCATTTACGCCTCATAGACTGCAGGACAGATCTCAGTCCCAAAGCACAATTAGCAGGTCTTCCAACCTCTGTGTTACAACCTCTCTCCTTCCCCAGAGCACCTCCCTGCTCAGGACAAGCCAAGTTGTTGGAAGACCCCTAGCTGCCTCCAGTTATTTCCTTCCTTCTGGATTTTTCTGGCTTCATTTCCCCTGACCCCCAACTAGCCTAACTTTTTCTCCCTCCAATCTCAGCTTCAAATAATGTCCTCTATAGAGGGAGATTTGTGTGAAGAGCCCCTCCTCCCAGGTTAAGGCGTGCTTTCTCAATCCCCTATATATACACCACTTGATCATTTTGTGATGCTGCTGCTTGCTTAACTGTCTGCCCCATTCAAATGTAAGCTCCAGCTGAGAGTTGAGCTTCTCTTGTTCACCAAAGTGAGTTCAACATCTAGCAGGATATTTGTAATATACTTGAAACCCTACTGCTATCGAGTTGATTCTGACTCATGGCGACCCTATAGGGCCGAGTAGAACTGCTCTTGTGGGTTTCTGAGACTGTAATTTTCTTCCTCAAAGTGGCTGGCAGTTTTGAACTGCTTACCTTGAGGTTAGCAGCCCAGGGTGTAACCCACTATGCCACCAGTGCTCCTTGGCAGATACTAAGAGATTGAGATATTTTTTTGAATGTTGAATGGGTAAATGGATGGATAGGTCACTGGCTCAAGTATTAAAAGGTAAACTCCTAAAGGCCATAGAGAGCCTATTTTCAGCACCTGTAGGCCAAACCATTTCAAAAGGCACAGACCAAACATCACTAATATCAGAGGCTTGCCAGACTTCAGGAGTCACCAGGGATTTCGAAGTTAACATTTCAATTTTGCTATCCCCCATTTTCCTAACTCTTTTCTCAAATGCCACTGAATTAGATTGACCTACGCCATACATGAAAATGGCATTACTGTCTGGGTTGGGGCAGTGGGGGAGTGGGGGGACATGGTTGGAGTTAGGGGCAGACCAACTAGCAGAGCAAGGGCTGCAGAGCCAGAGGGTGCTGCAAGGCTGAAAATACAGAAGTAGAGGGTGGGATGGAGGCACCAGGAGAGCTGAGCATACCAAGCCAGAGGAGGCAACAGGAAAAGTGGAACAGCGTCAAAGAACGCAGGGAGGGCTGGGTGCGGGGAATGGCACGGGACTGAGCTTTTAGCTGGAAGGGTGACAGGATAGGATAGGAGGAGAGCAGGGAGTGGTTCTGTGACTCTGTCATTGCCAGGGTAGGTGAGCGAGTAGACAGGCCCCTAACCGTTCATCTTCAAGACAGCTTAGTCTCTGTGCTCCTAGATGCTCTGCTACCTCCACAGGACGTGCCTGCTGACCACTCACCCAACAAGCGCCACTGATTCCAATTCTAAGGCCAAGCAATTTTGGGGTATGGGGGCCCATAAGTTCTTTTCTGCATTTTCATTGCAGAGAAGAAAAAGTTCAGGTTTTGGATTCTGACAAGTTTTGGATGACCTCGGCTTTGTCATCGACTAGTTACAGGGCCCTGGGCATCAGTTTCTTTCCCTGTAAAATGGGAACACCCACCTCCCAGAACTGTGAGGAGGTGTATGGGAGAACAGGCTTGTGAAGTGCACCAGGCACAGAGTAAGTACTCCCCAAAGGGGCTGCCACTCCCGTTTCCCTTCTACACTAAATGAAGTTGGTCCCAGTGTGAAATGTGCATGTGAGTGTAGAGATGGTGGTTGAGGGTGGAGGAGAACCAACTGCTGCTGACTTATTAGGACAGAAGGCATGAGTCGGGGCTGTGTGACATCCAGGGATGCAACAGGGACACCCCTCCTCCCACCCAATCATCCTCATCCGGGTCTCGGGGGTCTTGGCTGGTAGCGGGTCCCGTATGGCCAGGGGAAGCAGGCTCCATTAGTACCTTTCTCACCACAGTCGGAGAGGAGTGCTGGATGGTGCTGTCCAGCGGGGGGACACTGAGCGGGGTCTCTTCCCCAGATGTCTGGGGCAAAGCGGCTGCAGTATTCTTGTTGAGAGGGAGCACGGGCTTTGGGCCCTCTGACGCTGGAGGTTCGTCTGTAGCCTGGAGCAGAAGAGGAGAACTTGAGTGGGTTCCACTGCAAAGACCAGCAGCAGCTGCAGTAGCAGCAGCAGCAGGAAGGGCAGTGCCCAATCTGTCCCACTCATCGTCACCACCTACACAGTGTGGACAGCTTGCAATTTGTTCCCAAAGAGAACCACACTATCTAGACACTTCCTAAGCCTATGTCCTAACAGAATGGTCTTAGGCAAGACCCCCAATTGAGAATTCTGAACTAACTGTCACACTTATCCGGTTGGTTCACAGCAGTTTTGACCTAACGTTTGCTTGTGATCGATGGGCTCTGGACTCTTCTCTGCCTTCGTGGGGCTTACTCCAGAGTCCCTCCAAGGAGCAGGGGCTCATGGGAAGACATCTGAAGCTGTGAGTGCTGAAGCATAAATGGGAGGCCTTGCCATTTTGTAAGAAAGGAAAAGTCAATGGCACTGCTTTGAAGATAGAAGTGTAATTACAGGTTCCAGGGAAGCGCTACTATGAAAAAGCAAAGAGGGGCTTGGGGAGGGACTTAGAATGGGAGGCTCTGGGGAAAAAAAGCAATAATAATAATGGTAATAATAAAGGCAGGGGCTGACAGTGAACATGTGGACTACAGCAAAATTCCAGAAGTACAAACTGCACCCCTTCAATGGACTGTTTTCACCTCTCCCTAGGGACAGAGCAAGGACTCCTCTGCAGGAGTACAGAAAAGTCAACGGGTCTGCATCCAAGTCTTGGCTCTAATACTCAATGTGGTGTGGCTACCAAGTGAATTGCATACCTCCTAGGAACCTCCACTTCTGCACCTATAAAATACAGATGGTAATGCCTACCTAATGGCATTGTGGGCAGTGCACATAAATCAATCGAGTTTAGTCGACTTGAAATAAATGGGAAATCCCTATCTATGCAGTGTTACAAAACTGCTGGCTCCTACGTGTAACACACAGCTTCACTCCACTCCAGCTCTTCCCTACCCCTGGTCTCCACCACTGGGGTGTCACTTTGTCGTACTGTGCCGGCTTGTGTGTTGCTGTGATGCTGGAAGCTGTGCCACTGGTATTTCAAATGCCCGTAGGGTCACCCACAGTGAACAGGCTTCAGTGGTGCTTCCAAACTAAGAACAGACAATGAAGAAGGAATCGGCTCCCCACTTCAGAGGAAGTGGCTGCTGAAAACCTTACGCACAGCTTCAAAATATCGTCAGATACCGACGGCCCAATGAATGGAAGTAGAACATTGTCAAAGATAGTACTGGAAGATGAGCCCCTTGGGTCAGAAGGCACTTACAATGTGACAGGAGAAAGTGGGCGGGCAGCAAAAATGAGGAAGGCCCTCAAGGAGATGGATTGGCACCGTGGCTGCAACAATGGGATCAAGCACGGGCACAATTGTGAGGAGGGCACGCATTCTGTTGTACATAAGATCGCTGAGGGTCCGAACCGACAGGATGACATCTAATACCAACCTGTCTGGAAACTAAGTTCACAGCAAGGAAATCGGGCAAGTTACAGAGACAGGGCAGTTTCCCTTCTGCCCTGGCGCTGGGAGGAGTCCAGCGCTGCCCAGTAGGAAGCGCCCATGGCAAGGACCAGCAGGACAGGAATGGAGTGAAAGTGTTGAAGACAGAATGGTGTAGGGGCTGGGCACTGTGTTCTCCGGAGCTTCCACGACACTGAAGAAACTGGTCCTGGTGCCAGCCTGTGCCTGGGGGAGCTGTGCTCCCTGAGCTGTCCTACGGTGGGGCGAATCGATGCCCCAGCCACCCTGAGGCTCACCTGCAGCGTCTCCTCCTGCGTCTGGGACTGGACAGGTGCGGGCTGCCTCACGATGTAGTTGATCTGCCCCACGATGGTTTGCTGAAGGTGCTGAGGCGACTTGGTCTGACTCAGCTGCAGGCTGGGTTGCTGAGCCTGCAGGAGGAGCTCGAGATCCTTCTGCATTTCCTCCAGCTCAAACTTGTGGTGCATGATGTCCACGTTCTGGGAACAGGCAGGCCCAGGAGGAGGGTTCTCATGCTGACTGGGAGCCAGATGCTGGGATGGCGGTGGGGGTGGCTGCTGTGGTGGTGGGGGGGGTGGAGGGGGTGGAGGGAGCTGCTGCGGCGGGGGCGGGGGCGGCTGAAAGTGGCTAAGCTTTAGCTTCTGGTGGTGGCCAAACTGGACTTGGATAGAGGGTGTCTGTAAGGTGGGCTGGGCATGGGCTCCTGGATGAACATCCTGTGGAGGCACGATGCACACAGGCTGGGTGGTCGGCGGCTGGCCCAGCCTGTGGGGCGTGCCCTCGGGCTCAGCGGGCGGCGGGGCTTCCAGCCAGGGCTGCAGCAGCTTTGGTGGGTGAGGATTGCAGGGCAGCTCTTTCTCTCTGGGCAGCAGGGTGGGGCACTGCAGGGGCCCGAGCGGCTGAGGCACCATCTCCGGGGGCTGCCTAAAGCCGTGGGTGGGGTGTATGCTGGGGGGCGGCGGGGGCTGGCCTTTGAGGGCGGGTGAGCCCGGGGAGCAGTGGGAGCAGCACACAGATGAGGAACACAGGGCTTGGGGCTGGAACTTGTGTGAGGAGTGGCTAAGCGCCTCTTGCTGCGTCACCGTCACCGGGGATTGGTGGCTTTGGTAAAAGGATGATGGCGCCTGCAAGCTGCCATATGCTGGAGTTTCGGCCCGGGACAGCTGTCCTCCTTCGGTAGTTATGCAGCCTGCAAGTTCAGAAGAGAGTGTGCTACCTCCTGCTCCCAGGAACAGACACAACCACGTACATACAGACGAATGACCGAGACCCCTGGTCGCTAAGGCTCAGGTTAGAATGCCGCTAGCAGGAACATTTGTGTGTGTGTGTGTGTGTGTGTGTGTGTGTACTGGGAGTTTGAGAAATTAGCTCAGCTTTTCACACATGCTCCGGTCTTACTCGTCTATCCCAGGAGAGAAGCCACAGGTTCCCTTCAATAGCATCCACTCCTTTTTTCTTTCCTTTTGTTAAAACAGAGCCACTGTTAATGGTGGGGACCGAGGCAGGAGTGAGAAGCTATGTGCTGAAAAGTAGCAACAAACTTTCCAATGAGCAAGTCCCCAAACCAGACCTTGGGCGACTACGTGCTGGGCAAGTGAGATGAAAGAGGAGAGAAGTGGGGGTAGCGGGGAGGGAGGGGGAAAATGAGGACCTAATGTTGGGGGTTTAAGTGGAGAGAAAATGTTTTGAGAAACGATGTACAAATGCGCTTTACACAATTGATGTGTGTATGGATTGGGATAACAGTTGTATGAGGCCCTAATAAAATGTTAAAAAAATAAAAAGAAAAGAGGATAAATAAATAAATAAATAAATAAATTGTAGAACTAAAAAAAAAAAGAAAGAGAAGAGAAGCTCCTAGGCGAGGCAATAGCACTGCCCCTGGAGGCCTCGGGGCCCCTGGCATGAGTGGATGATTCCTACTGGTATCCCGGCACAAGGGCTCCTTCCACCAAGTGTTTTTGATGAGGCTTGCTTCCGTGGAGACTGCTCCTCGAGAGGAGCCCTGACGGCATGTGAGGCTGCCAACTGCACGGTCAGCAGTGCAAACCACCGGCTGCTCCCTGGGAGCGGGACGAGGCTTCCCACTCCTCTCGAAAGTGGGAGTCTCAGAAGCCCGCAGGGGTCATTCTACCCTGTGCTGTCAGGTCACGCTGAGTCGGAATGAACTTGGTAGTGGGTTTGGTTGTTGAGAGGAGGAAATGTGATGTAATCACCTGTGGTACCTAGTGCCCAGCCTGGGGCCCGTCTGCCCAAAGGTCTCGTGAATTAGCCAGAGGGGAAATGGAAGCAAAGAAGTCTCATTCATCATTTTGCCAAGTTCAATCAACTTTCAGAGTGCCAGAGCCAAGTGAAGGCGGCCGTTGGCCGTTCGTTGAACACATCTCCCATTGGGTTCTCAACACAGGCACAACTTCAACTGTCTGCATTCTGTCTGAATACTGATTGCCAGCAAATTATGGGAGCAGGAAAGGAAATGTACACAAAGTCATGCATTTCCCTGCTTGCATGTCAACTGCAAAAGATGAATGAAGCACACTCGCACATGTCTCACTATTGCTGAGACCTGAATACCTTTGTAGGACACAAGCATACTGCCATGCAGCAGGGCCACTGTCTCCTCTCCAGAAATGCAACAGAGGTAAGAATGACATTCCTGAAGAATGCAAAGCTCAGATGCCAATGAGTCCTGGGACAAAGTCCTATATTGCTATTGTGCTACTGCCATTGAACCTTTCCCCTCAAACACACAGCACACAGAGACAGAGACAGAAAGTGGGCTGGGGGGGGGGGGGGTTGCTGGGTAACTCCATGGCCACTGGCAGTCTCCAGGAGTGCTTCCCTTGGGTCTATGCGGACCAACCCAGTAAGCTAACAGATGTGTTATGCTCATGCTTCGCAATTATGTACATGCCCTCACAGTGGAACCCCACTCACCAAGGGAAGCCAGCTGCTTGGTCCAGAAGTTAGGCTCCCAGGTGAACCTGATACTCCAAGGGGAACCAGGATCCGTGTTACAACTTGTCTCCAGCAGTCGTTGCATCTGGAACACAATCTGACCCCACCACCAAAGGTCAATTCTTTGATCAGCCTGTGTCTAAATGACAATTTTTTCTCCCTCTCCTCTGGACAGTGTGAAGAGCTCAAGGTCTTGGCCCTTTAGACTCTTGTTTTTCCTTAGGTGCTCATTTCCTTCTATTTTAATACCTCTCCTTCACCACCCACCCTAACAGCCTCCCCTAGCTGAGATGCATCAAGTCTCCAGAACCCTAACATCCTCATCTCTTGCAGACCTCAAATGATTTGTAATTCTCTCGCACCTTATTTCTCTGGAAACCCTCTGGAGGATGTTGTATTCATTGTCCCATCACCTGATTTTTTTCTAAGTGGACAAATGTTCTCTGAGCTCCCATTGCAGCTCTTCCGCCCCCAGGTACAACACCCTTCCATTCTATTCACCTGCCCTCTTCCTCCCTCGTTGCTGTCATCTAGCTTCTATCATTCAGTTGACCATTTAGGACTTTATATAGCAACACCTTTGCCTCTTAATCACTTGGTCTCATTAATGCCAGTTACCTTTCCCTCTGTTTTCAGTAGTAAACATACCTAGACGTATCATCTAGGACAGTTCTACCTATGAGACCTTAAACTTCAACAATCGGATCTCTGATCACATAACTAGTACATGCTTTTTCAGAGGATGGTTTCCAACCTCATGGAATTCTCTCCAAGTCCTGCTCTTTAGGCCATAGAATCTTCCCAGCTTCCCATAATTTTCATTTAGGATTCTTAATGCCTTCTCCAGCACCATTTCCTAAAAGTTGGTCAATCCATCCATCCCAAAGCCCTGTTATTTTCCACTACTTCAAGGGCACGCTCCAATCATTTTTCTTGTCTCTGGTAAACCTCCTCTTGCACTGTGCTTAGTGACTTTTGAAAATCTGCATTTTTTCCACCGTGTCACTTATCTAATGTCTCACCTTTTCATTCACTTGTTTCACATAGACTGGAAAGAGCAAACTCCTACCAACTTACACCCCTTGGACCTTCAAACTTATCTGCACCCTACTGCTACCTTCCTGTCCTCTGATCTCAGAGGACAGGAGTGTCTCTTTCATTTAAAGCTAACCATTCACTTCCGATCCCACCTCCTCCTGCCTTCTCAGGATGCTAACTCCTCCACACATCTCTTTCTTCAACCTCTCCCCTAAAAGACATGTGGGCACCTGTTTTCCATTCTTAAAAAACTGTTTCCTCACAACTCTGCCTTCCTATTTCCCTTCTCTTCACTTCCGTCTCTACTTCCTCACCTCGCTACCTCCTCTGCCTCCTTGACCTGTCTATGGGCTGTTCCACTTTACAAGAAGGCCTTTAAAACATCATCTGCCATCTAGGCTGGCAATGATGCTATTTTTCTGGGAACCAAACTTCTTGTTCTCTTCCTGCACACACACTTTCAAGGTTTTACTACCAATAGCTCAGTGACTCCCAAGACTCTATCTCCTACCCTAGCCTTTCTTCACCCTTCCAGGCCCATATGTTCAAGTAGCTCCTAGACATTTCCTCTCAAATAGCCTGCAGGAATCTGAGATTCAGCATACTCCAATGGAAACCCCATCAACATCTCTCCGAAATCTTGCTGCTTCCCCTGGGCACCCTCCTCCTCCCAAGACGAAAACTTCAGCGCCATCCTCAACACTCTTCCTTTCCTCTTTATCCTCATCACCACCACCCTTTTCAATCCACGATAACTTCCTATGGGATAGACAACACACTGCTAGGATAATAGCCAAGTCCATGACCTGAGACAAAGAACTGTCACCTCCCTGGTGGGTTGCCTGGGAGGAAGGCAGGACCATTTCAGAGCCTGGATCCTTTGTACATAGCATTGGGTGAAAGGCGTAAATGCTACTTATTAACTGAAGGATAGATGGGGTAGTGTCTTACTTTATCCATTCTAAAGAAAGTCAGGCACTGCCTCACCTCCCCAGAACAGAGTGGAGGCTCTGATCAGCTGCGAGTGTAGGCTGAGAAGTCTGACGTCCCTTACCAGTTCTTTGCTGAAAAGGAAAGGGATGCTGGTTTTGCTGCAGACCGCCCAATTGATGAAGTTCTGTACATGCTCAAATTGACGGTTGAGAACCATGATGCCCTGCAGCTGCTGCTCCAGCTTCCGCTTCCTCTCATTCGTAATGCCCTGGGTACAAAGGAGACAAAGTCTTTGAGCCCTGTGGCCTGCTGTGTCTTTGTGAGCACGACTGGATATTGGATCCGACGGCTCTGTGTCCTTGAGAGGAGAGGAGGACTGGAGAGTGCTGCCGTGACCAGAACCGAGGGTGAGGGAGAAGGAGAGTCTGGATTGTATAGGGAAATCATGGAGCAGGTAGCGAGGAGGCGGTTAATGAATGTCAACATCTCCTGAGCATAACTTGCTGAAGAAAGAACCTGTTTCATGGCTCTCTCTTCCAAGGCTATGATCCAGCATGGCCCGGACCCAGAAAGGCAGTGCTTAACAACAACCGCACTGCTGGGAGTTTGAAATGACTTCCCAGACCTTACTGAGCTACTCTCTCAAGATAAGAGCAGGCATTTTAAGATTCAGGGTGCAGCAGAGAGCTGAGGAAGTGCACATAGGAACTCCAGCTCCGGTTGCTCTGAGCCCATCGTTTGATAGGTGTCTGGTTTATGACCCAAGGGAAAGCATGGAGCCTATCCACGTGACCCAGATGTACCTCCAACTCCTCTATGAGCCCGTTGGCCTGTTTGTTCAGCTCATTCATCAGAACCATTTTGGCCATTTTTATCTGGTTTTCTACCTTCCTGTGTTGATGCTTCACTTCAAAAATCCTGTCAAGAGAATGGAAAAGAGCGTGGTGAGCCCTGTACTCCACACCCACTGTGGGAAGAGAGCCTGTGACCGGAGGGCCCGGCAGACACCACCTAGAGAAGACGAGAGACGTGCCCTCCCACCGCCCATCCTTTGGACAACCCAGTCCAAGTGGGGCCAGGTGCCAATGCGAACACTGATTGAATCACATGGCTCTGCATCCCCGCGAGGAGAGAGGCCAGCAGAATGAATGTATTTCCATGGCAAGGCTAGAGGGCCAGCGGGAAGGACTTCGTTATCTCTAGGTGAATCACAAATCCACATTCAGCTCAAATCAGCAGCTTCCCAATTCACACAGCGCCAGAAGCAGGGTCAGAAAGAGCAGGACAAGATCTCATAGAATTTTTTGCCTTAAGGAAGAAGGTGCTCGGAATCCACGTGTGGCAAAAAGAGCGTGAGTTTAGTTGCCAGGACCTGAGTGTGCTTATTTGTGTTTCCTCTTGTAGTGATGGGAATGGTCTGAAACGGGATGGCTGAAAAACTCTGTGACAAATATACTAAAATTACTGAATTGAAAGGGGGGTGGGTCAGGGCATGTTAAGTTGCACAACAACAAAGCTGTTATTTTAAAAACAGGGGTATGGTCTTTGAAGTCACGCAGATGTAACTTCTAAGCCCAACCCGCTGACTACCTGTTTGATCTCAGACTAGTCACCTAAATTCTCTGAACATGAGTCTCCTCATCAGTTTATCAGTAACATGGAGGCAATTCCTACCTCAAAGAACTGTAAGATTTGAACAAAATAATGTGGATATAATGTCCAACTCAATGCCGGGCACATAAATTCTTAGTGTTGACTAATTCTACCTATGTAAAATACCAATGAAGGCATGTCATTTGTAGATTTACATGAAAAACAAGGGAGTGATAAGGGGGAGATTGTTACTGACTTATTACACCCTTATGATTAACAGCAATTTCTTCCCCAATATCTACTGTGTGCCCTTGTTCTCAATCACCTACATCTGGCTAGTTCATGATCACTTGTAGAAGTGGACTTTGGCCCAGACTCACTCTGTTTACCCTGACAGAGGTCAACCTCAAGGACCAAGAGCCAATCCTAAGACACCCCACCTCACTGGCCCTGGGGCGTCTAGGGCCAGGATATACACCTTTCAGGGCATTTCCCCACATCTATTTAACTGCACGTCCACTTCAAAAGCTCTACATCTGATAGTCTGGTATTGTGAACGAGGACATAAGGAAACAGACCGTTCCCAGCTCTGGACGGGGCTGGCCTGTGCTACCTGTCCTCAATTTGCTTTGCAGATGTCTGCAGGTTGGATTTCTTATGGGCCACCTGGGTAGTCACACTTTCCAGAAGCATCCTTTGGTTTTGCAGAACTTCTTCAAGATGTCTGCACCTAGGGGAAGAGAAAGGGAAAGGAAGTTGAGGGGGCTGCGCCTGGCTGGGAATGCCAGCCACACAAGGATCTGGACCATGCAGCGCTCAGCCTGGCCCATGGGGCTGTAGTCGCAGCTACACAGTCAGAGATGCTGCAGGCGCTTGGCCCATTAGGCCTTCTCCAGAGAAACTCGTCAACAGTGGTAGCAAAGAGCTTCAGGTTAGCCCAGGGACTGCAGGTTGGCTTAGGCAGGGGCAAGATCTGGATGTGCTGAGAGAGCCCAGAGCCAGAGCTCTCCCCAGCCCTGCACTGGCTCCAGGCAGCCAGCCGCACCTGTGCTCCTTGTGCTCCACCAGGAGGCAGCTGTGGCAAGTGAGCACGTCACAGGTCTCGCAGAACAGTTTGAGCACTTCCTGTGTGTGTAGAGGGCAGTACAAAGCGAAGTCCCCGGAGCCACCATTCACTCCTGCCGGAGAAGAAGGAGAAAATGAGCCTCTCCAGCTGAGGCAGACCTCTCAGGTAAGAGTCACTGAGTCACTCTCAGCCTCAAAGGGCACCCAGGAGACATAGAAGTTGAAGAAAAGATGCCTGTCCCAAGGCTAATGAGGGTCCAGAGACACAAAGGAAAGTGCAGGTTTAGGCTGGAATGCATTTGTCCTTTCTGGCATCTCTCTGGACGTGCCCACCATTGCCTCCCATGCAGCCTACCACCCACCAGAGGCTGAGGGCAGTACTTGGTCCTGCTGCAGGTGGGTCTCCTGCAGAGCAAGGAATCCTCCAACACTCAACCTAAACCTCCTCACTGGCCTGGATTCTGTTATGATCGGGCTTGCCAGATCCCCAGCTATCAACACAAGGTCATGAACGCTAGTTCCCAGAGGCTGGACAAAGGTGAAACCCCTTCCATCGTCAAGGGCCTTTAGAACAGACTTTTCAAGAAGATTGTCATTAAAGACAAATGGTGCTGGGAGGACAAATGGACAAACCATAGCCAGGCTGAAAGATGAATCAAGTAACTACAGAGAAGTGAGGCCTGGATGTTCTAAACAGAGGGCAGGAGCTTGACGAGCTTCTATGATCATCCCGAACCCCGGTGCGATCACGCCCACATTCACCCACTGTCACAGAGCGAGGGAGCCTCACACCCCTTTGACTCTGGAGGAAACTTCCTCCCTCTGGGATGGGTTCCAAGACTACCCCATCCTTCCTGGACAAGAAAACCAGGTCAGAGAGCAATTTTCCAGGGGTTTTAGAGTTCCATGCCAACCTGGGGCATGGGGGCTGGTGGGGAGAGGGAGGTTTGGTACCTGGAGACCCCTTCTGGGCACGGGGAAAGAGTGGCCCCCCTGGGGCAGGCCCGTGTCGGTGTTCCTCGGTGCAGGAGCTGCACAGCCAGCGGTTGCAGTAGGTGCAGAGGATGTGTGCCGCCCTCTTCTCCTTGCATTCTGAGCAATTCTGGAAGCAGAGAGTTCTGGGGTCACTGCCAAGTCAAGTACAGAGGTCAGCAAGTACACTGGCAACTGGGGTCTTGAGGTTCCACTATGTAAAGGTCAGCCAATTCTGCAGAGCCGCCAGGGAATGGCAGGGGGAGCTTGTAATGGAATGTAGCCTGTGACTAACGAAGATGGACTGAGGAGAGCTGATGTCTTTGAACTGGGCTGCTGGCAAAGAACACTGAACATATCATGAACTGCCAGAACAAACGGCTCTGTCTTGCAAGCATAGCCAGAATGCTCCTTAGAGGCAAGGATGGCAAGACTTCATATCTCATTCTTTGGATGTGTTGGGGGGGGGGTCGCATCTTCCTTATAGAGGATCAGTGGGAAAAGAGGACGACTCTCAACAAGATAGACTGACACTGTGGCTGCAACAATGGGCTGAAACCTACCAATCAACTGTGAGGGTGGCCCAGGACGGGCAGTCAAAGGGTTGTGGCACCAAACAATAACAACAGGGGCTATTCACCAAGTTGGTCCTTTGTTGAGCCGGAGGGCATCTAAGTAAATAAGCGAGGGCCCTGCCTTCAGGGCACTCACAGCCTAGCCGGGGTGGCAGACCCAGACAGGGTGGCAGACAGGGTAGCAGACAGGGTGGCCGGCCTCGTTTGTTCACAGTGGATTTCAAGCTATGACTAGGAATAACTTGTAACCTCGGGGAAAAGAGGGGAGCAAAAAGGGCAGAGTACTGTGGCCACCAGCATCACTTCAACTACAGCAGTTCATCTGTTTTATCTCTTGGGCTTCCGAGTAAGACTCCCCTGATGAAAAGCTAGAGCAGCAGTTTGAAATCAGCAGATTGCATCCATGACTCATTCAGAGAGCCAACGGCCATACGAGACCAAGTCCCACAATACACAGCATTGTGTGCTGTTTGAAGGGCAGTCCAAGAAAGCAGACCCAATCACCGCAGGCTTCTTTTCTTGTTTGACTTTCATACACATAATAAAAACTGGCAGACTCCTTGCTACCAAGTGCATAGCTCCACCGATTCAACCTAAACTATACAGGCCACCAAACTGATGTCGATTCTGACAACTTTTGCTCTCAGTCTGACAGAGGGTAGACAGGAACAGACAGACAAGTGTGATTAATTAAACTCCTGAAGGTAGAGAACTCTAGTCTCTCTGCTTCCCTGGCACCCAGCACAGGCACAAGCCAGGCATTCGATAAAAATGAGAGATAGGAGCAATAAAGTAAATGAGTGATAAGCACAGATACCATAAAGGGGAGAGTATCCATCGGTACGGTATATAAAATTCCAGGAACTCAGGAAGAGGGTGTTAGTCGTTATATGTAGCAAGATTGAGCCACACTGGGGGAAATAAATTTTAATCCAGGCTGGTAGAAATTGAAAAAGGAAAATTTGAATTAAGAACTCAGTCCTTGGATTTTCTTAATAAGAATTGTAAGGGAGTAGTGGAGACCTAGAATAAAAATCCCTGCCATCCAGTCAATTCTGACTCACAATAATCCCAGAGGGCAGAGCAGAACTGCCCCTGTGGCTTTCTGAGTCTGAGATACTTACAGGAGGAGTAAGCCTCATCTTTCTCCTTTGGAGTAGCTGGTGGTTTCAAACTGCTGACCCTGTGGTTGGTATCCCAATGCATAACCCACTATGCCGCCAGGGCTCCTAGTATTTAGGGCTCCCCCTGTAAACCATCTCAATTCCGTGCCGTGGAGTCATTTCTGACTCAGAGCAACCTGACAGGACAGAGTAGCACTCCCACTGTGGGTCTCTAGGACTGTCAGTCTTCACGGGAGTAAAGGCCTCATCTTCCTCTCACAAAGCAGCTGATGGTTTCAAACTTCAGACCTGTGGTTGGCAGTCCAACTCCTACCCTCCTCCACACCCCACCAGAGCTCCTTGAAGTGATACGAGACACATTACAAAGGGGTATCTTTACCTTGTGTCCAAAGCATTTACACAAAGGAGAAATAGTAATTTTTACTTAATAGAAAATTCCCACTTGGCTTTCCCCAATTCAAAGATGTATTTCTTGGATGGATGGAAGGAAGGATGAATGGGTGGATGATGGATGGACAAACTGACAGAGGGGTAAAAATAAGATGACCAGACATCCCGCTTTTGGTGGGGCAGTCCCGATTTTTGGCGTTTTAAAAAAGTCCCGATTTTTGGAAAGAATGCACGACAAGCTAGGGAACGGTCTATTTGGTCCATATAGACCAAATTTTTAATCAGGAACACCCCCACCCGCTCCCAGGTCAATGGTGTCCCACTTTAAATCTGGTCACCTTAGGTAAAAAGTCAGATGAGGAAATGAATGGATAGACATGCGCTCAAGATAAGTAAGCAAGATAAGTAAGCAAGGGTTTAACGGCATCTTACCTTGTCCCAACTTACCCTGGCCATCTTGGGCTGCCCTGTAGGAAAGCACTGCAGAAAAAAATGTTCAGTCACATCCCTGGTAAGGTACACACACTTACATCCAGGACAAGAGATGAGCTCTGGGGAGAGCAAACGGAAAGAAAGCAGGGTCACAACAGCATGGCCGACCATACGACCATAGAAAGACATTGACACAGGCTTTCTAATGCACGGCAGGGAGGGTAAGTGTTAACATCCACTGTGCCAAAACACGCTGTTCCATACCGTAACCTACATCGCTGTTGTTGAGCTACTTCTGACTCATGGTTACCCTGTGTACAACAGAAAGGAACACAGGCCCTGCACCATCCCTCCTGATCGTTGTTTTATTTCAGCTCATTGTTATAAATACTGTGTCACTCCATCTCATCGAGGGTCTTCTTTTTTAAAAAAAATCATTTTATTGGGGCTCATCCGACTCTTATCACAATCCATACATACACCAATTGTGTCAAGCACATTTGTACATTTGTTGCCCTCATCATTCTGAAAACATTTGCTCTCCACTTAAGCCCTTGGCATCAGGTCCTCATTTTTTGTCCTCCCTCCCCGCTCCCCTCTCCCTCATGAATCCTTGATAATTTATAAATTATTATTTTGTCATATCTTAGACTGTCTGACATCTCCCTTCACCCACTTTTCTGTTGTCCGTCTCCCAGGGAGGAGGTTATATGTAGATCCCTGTAATGGGTTCTCCCTCCACCCTCCCGGTATCGCCACTCTCACCACTGGTCCTGAAGGGATCATCTGCCCTGGATGCCCTGATTCCAGTTCCTATCTGTATCTGTACCTATCTGGTCTAGCCAGATTTGTAAGGCAGAATTGAGATCATGATATTGGGGGGGGGGGGAAGCATTTAGAAACTAGAGGAAAGTTGTATGTTTCATCGTTGCTACACTGCACCCTGACTGACTTGTCTCCTACCCACGACCCTTCTGTAAGGGAATGTCGAGTTGCCTACAGATGGGTCTTGGGTCCCCAATCTGTACTCCCTCTCATTCACAATGATGTGATTTTTTTGTTCTTTGATGCTTGATACCTGATCCCTTCGACACCTCGTGATCACACAGGCTGGTGTGCTTCTTCCATGTGGGCTTTGTTGCTTCTGAGCTAGATGGCTGCTTGTTTACCTTCAAGTCTTTAAGACCCTAGATGCTATATCTTTTGATAGCCGGGCACCATCAGCTTTCTTCACCACATTTGCTTATTCACCCGCTTTGTCTTCAGTGATCGTATCAGGAAGGTGAGCATCATGGAATGCCAGTTTAATAGAACAAAATATTCTCGCATTGAGGGAGTACTTGAGTGGAGGCTCAATGTCCATCTGCTACCTTAATACTAAACCTATAAATATATGCACATAGATCTATTTCTCCATCCTCATATATAAATATATTTACATATGAGGATCTTCTTTTTATCACTGACATTCTATCATAGAGACTACCTGTCCTTACCACCTAGGTATTCGGACATGACCATACTTTGGAAGTCAGTTCTAAATCCTCTTCATATCCTTGTTCTTGCCTAGCCCTACCTTCACACTTACCCACAAGCCAGGCTACTACAAGTCCAACTCCACTCTGGTTCTGACCATTAGATGCCTTCCTATTGCTTCTACACCTAATTCCACAGCTCTGAGGACCCAGCTCCCATAACTTGCCAAGATCCAGAGGCTCAGTTTCACTCCGAACACAACTCTAGTCATTAGAAGTACCTTGTAGCAGGACTACATAACTCCATGGCTGCTAGCAGGTTTTAGCCAGAGAAAAGGCCTTTGCCTATTCATGGCCTAGCAAGTGTTTCTCTCTTGGTGCAGTTAATGCAGAGTCTGACCCCAGCATCTGAGAGATCATTTTCCGGGCTTCTCTCCCTAGTCTATGCCTGGTTCAGTATAGATACGTATGTTTCACTGCACACATCTGTCCTCTTCCCCTCCTTCCCCGTATGCACACACACCCTGCACTAGGAGAAAGACAATAGACCCCGGTACATTCCTCAGCCTGGGGGAACTCTAAGCTCTACATCCGGCTAGTAAGAAGGTAACTTCGTGAATGACTGTCCTGTGAACACTACAGTGACTCTTTAGGTCCACCCTAAAAAGTCAGCCCACAGCGAAGAAGGAAGTGAGCCTACAAAGTAGGGCAAGGGGCCAGTCCCCAAGGATAAAGATGGCCTGAAAAGGGACTGGGCATGGCAGTGAACACAACAGTATCACGCCCCCCTCCCCTTCAACTCAACAAAATGCCAAAGAATAAGACAACAGCAGCTGCTCTAGACTTACAGTCGGGCAAACAAGTCCACATATTAAGTTTACCATCTAATAACCTTGGGCAAGTCACCTAATTTTACCTAACTTCTATGTGCCTCAGTTTCTGCACTGTGTATAATAGGAAGGGGGAAAATCGTTATTTTAGGGATTAAATTAGATAATGCTTGTGAAAACACATGCTCCTCCATGAATGCTGACTTTGAATGTAAAAGCTTCTTCATATCCTACTTTTCATAAAGTGATAACTCCAATTATCAGCTCTCTCTTGTGATGAAAGTCAGATAGCTAGAGTGGTAGAGTTCATCATTTTTCCCCTCCCAGCATCCATGCCTTTGTAATCCGTACCATCAAGAAATGGAGTCTAGTCTTTATCGCTTGAATGTAGGCTGGATTTTTGGCTTGTTTTGGCCAAGAGTATGTAGCAAAGGGGATATTGAACAAGTTCCAAGTTTAGACTTGAAGAGGCTTTGTATGGATTGTTCTTGTTCTTAGAACTCTAGGACTGAAGATGCCCAGATTCGATTGCTATAAGATAAAAGTCCATGTAGAAAGAGTTCTCAGTTATCTCAATGTCCCACTTGAGGGGCACAAACCATGCAGCCACAGCTGACCCACAACCGAACAAGATACATGAAGGAGAGCAGCTGAGCGCAACCAAACCCAGGCCCAACCAGAGACCAGCCCAAACTGTCACCCTGTAGAATCACTAAAGAAACGGCTGTTTCAACCACTAAGTCATAATGTGGTTTCTTGTGCAGCAGAAAGCTAACTCATACATCCTTTTAAAAAGTCAAAACCCAAAAATCATATAATAGCTTAAAATGCTCCCACCCTGAAGACAAACTCCTCCAGCCTTCACAGAACCATGGACGACCTGAATGACAGAGTGGATCTGAGATCTCTTGGGTATTCTGCCTCCCAAAAACCATGGCCAGAGAGAGAGAAGGAAGCTCTCCATGGGTGGCATCATCCAGGGGAACCAGGTAATAATCTCTCCCGTCTACTTGGCTGTCCCTAGAGAGACCCTCCTCTCCTCACCCACCTCTGCAGGACAGAGATGCTGCTCTGATTGATTACAACGATTTCCACAAGACTTCTCAAATCCCTGGTACCAGATGCTCAAGCATTAGGCATAGAAACATCCTCATTAGCAGCATTAAAAAGGAGAGACTGCGAGAAAGAATTGAACAGGTCATACACGACTTCACCCCACAAGCCTTCAAAGTCAAAACCCTTAACTTTGCATTCAGAGCCCTTTTAAAGCTGGCCTATCTCTTCTCTATTCTGAGTTCTAGCTTCATCTGCCACCTACCCCCATCCTTGTCCTGCCAAGCATCCCTGCTATCTCCTGTGAGCACTGAACCCTCGCATAACTCAGTCTTTCAAAACACCGTGTCCTCGTCCTTAAATAGTCTATCTTCCTCTCAAAACACCGTGTCCTCGTCCTTAAATAGTCTATCTTCCTCTCATCCCTTGCAGATGAACTCCTAATCATCCTCTTAAACCTGCTCAAATGTTTGACCTTGAGAAACAGGGTCTCATTTCCACTCAGAGGAGTTAATTATCTCCTATTCTGATTCTGATTCCCACAACACCCTGAATGCATCTTTAGTATAATATATATCACACTGATTCTAAGGATCTGTTCCTAGATATATTTATATATCAAAAGGATTCACAATTGGAATTAACAGATATTGTATGATTTTTAGCAGACTGGACAAGTATGTTTCCCTTGAGTTTACATAGTCCATGTGTATTCCTTGCACTCATAGCCCCTGGAAGACGTAAGAACCCCTCTGGCAGTTTTCTGGGTGGTGGAAAAAAGCCAACCTGGGATAATGAATGAGGCAATTCATCTGATGCAGAAAAGAGGTTAGTTATTTGGAAAGATACTGAATTAGAAGATAGGGGTTCCAGGGCCAGTGCTGGTTTATCTGACCTTGGACAAGTGATTCCCTAAATCTGAACCTCACTTTTTATATCCTTAAAATTAGGGGACCAGGAATATTAGAAAAGTATGGATTATCAAATATAAAGAAAACAAAAATTCTCACAACTGGACCAATAGACAGCATCACTGATAGATAGACGTTGAGAATTTCATTTTACTTGAATCCACAGTCAAGTCCCTGGAAGCAGAATCAAGAAATCAAATGACCTATTGCATTGGGCAAATCTGTGTAAGGCCTGTTTAAAAGAGCTAAAGAGCAAAGTCCCAGTGACGACCAAAGTGCGCCTGACCCAAGCCATGGCGTCTCCAATCATCTCATCTTCATGTGAAAGTTGGACAATGAATAAGGAAGACCAAAGAAAAACTGATGCATTTGAATGATGGTGCTTGTAAAGAATATTAGAAAGTATGGGGATTGTCAGAGGAACAAACAAATCTGCCTTGGAAGAAAGAGAGCCACAATGTCCTTAGACGGGAGGATGGCAGGATTTGGTCTCGCGTACTCTGGACACGATGTCAGAGACTCATCCCTGGAAAAGGACATCTTGCTTGGTAGAGGATCGGCAAAAACGAAAAACAAAAAAGAGACAGATCTACACGGTGGCTGCAACAATGGGACTAAACACAACCATGGTGAGGACCGTGCAGGCCCGGGCAGTGTTTCGTTCTACTATACATAACGCAATAGCACCTAATAACAACATAGATCATCCAGCCCTTTCCCGCTGCCTGCTGTTGCCACTGTTCAGAAACATTTCTCAAGCAAGATCAAAAGGGACAAAAGTCAAAAGGCCATCTGATGTCATCCGTGTCATGCAGTCAGAACCTGGCTGGTGACTGAGGCAGGCCTGCCCTTCAAAGAGCATCCCCTCCAAAGGGGGCTGCTGCAGCAGGCAGCAGAGGTGGAGAATCACAGGAGAGCTATAAGCCCAGTCCGAGGCAGGCCATAGGTCCCAGAAGGGACACAGAGGACATGTGTCATATGCCAATGGCCTGCCCTCTCCTTCTATCGGGAGCTCCCTGACCCCCAGCAAGCTGCTGCAAGCTTGAATTTATATTTTTATTTAGAGAAGGTTCTTCCATTTTCAAGAGAATTTGAGAATTTTTTTCAAGTTTCATGTTAAACAATTTGAACATATAAACTTTTAGGGTTGTGGATGTATACAAAATAACCAAACCATCAACTTACAAAATACAATGAATTTAGTTATGAATATACCTTAAATCACATGTTGCATGAAATACATACGATCTATTCCTTTTCTCATATTTGAGCTGCTCAGACAAGTCTTGAGTTTTTGTTTCATATAAAGAAACATCAGTTCTAAAAAAGGAACCAAAATCCACTACAGTGGGGTCCATTTGGACTCCCAGCAGCCTGAAAGGGTGGAGGAGAACTGCCCGAGGGCTTGCTGGGCTGTAATCTTTAGGAAGCTGACTGCCACAGCTTTCTCCTTCAGTTAGCAGCCTTACCTCATAACCACCACCCCACCAGCGCTCCTTAGAAAAGTGTAAGCCAGAGCCCAAGGCCAAACTCCCGTCCTGGAGAAGGTGTGCTTCGGATCCAGAATGAAGAGCTCACAGGCACCAAGACTTAAGGACTCCTGAGAGCGGCTCTGAATGTGGAGGACAGGCAGCCCCTCGGTCACCAGCAACAGCTCTGCTGCTTCCTGAAGTCTGGGGCAAACTGACATCTGGGAACACTACCTCTTGCGCCAGACAAGTATCCTATTTTATCTAACTTCATCATCAAACCATCTCCGAGAAGAAGGCACTGTCCCCATTTTACAGCTGGAGAACCTGAGGGACTGGGGGAGTTACGTTACCTGTCAACGATCTTACAAGACAGGGACAGAACTATGATTTCAGCTATGATAGGATTTCAAGTCGGTCTGCTTCTAAAGCGCATGCCTTCCCTACTATGCTATTAAAAACAACCACAAGCACAACTCACTACCATCAAGTGGATTCCAATTCATAGACTAGGACTGGCCCTTTGGATTTCCTACACCTTTAAACCCTTATAGAAGCAGACAACCTCATCTTTTTCCTTAAGAGTGACAGATGAGTTTTGAACTGCTGATCATGTGGTTAGCAGTTCAATTCATAGCCCACTGAGCCACCAGGGCTCCTTCAACTCTTCCATGCTCCTCCCTAATTCAATTGTGAATAAGCAAGATAATTTATTTTAATAACTAGACAACTCAACTTTAAGTAAATAAAGGTAAACTCACAGAGTCATTGAGCTGACTCTGACCCATAGCAACGTGATAGGACAGAGTAAATCTGCCCCTTGGGTTTTGTGAGACTAAATCTTTACCAGAGCAGACAATCTTATTTTTCTCCTTCAGAGCAGCAGGTGGGTTCAAAACCCTGACTCTGTGGTTAAGAGCTCAACGCATGGCACACTACATGACCAGGGATCCTATCAAAGCACAAAGAATATATCCCATCGTAATGACCAGCTCTGGACTTGGGAAAGCCAGCAGGAACTGGGAGCCACTCCAGCTGTGCTTCCAAGTCTTAAGAAATGGTACCTTTGTGAAAGGCAAATGGAATGGGGTTTTGCTGCCAGTGGATCATAAATTGGGAGGCAAGCTCATTCTTTAGAGCAATGGTTCTCGAGCTTTGCTGCATGTTTGAATCGAAAGGAACTTTTGAACACCCTAGCATCACATACCAATTAAATCAGAACTGTAGGGGGTGGGGCCTAGGGATCAGTAATTTGTAAAACTTCCCAAGTGAGTCCTCTATATGGTTAGTTAGAAAGCACTCCCTTAGAGAGCGCACTCCTTATCCGGGGATTGAACCTGAGGGCTGGCCCAAGCTCCTGTCGCTGAGAAAGGCAGGCTGGGGTGGAAGCACTTGCTCTGTTTTAAAAAGAGGCTTCAAGAAGGTAAGACAGACTCTGACTGCAGCTGTGATGTATTTCCTCCCTGGCAAAGAAAAGAGAAGGGTAGATTCCCAACAGACAGAAGGTCGGTCTCCTGAGACCCAGGGCCCTGGAGACTGAGTCTTGCCTCTCCTATCTCCCAGCTCACCTGAAGCAGCCTTCACGACGACGGCTGCTGGGTTCTGAGTGAATGAGATGGAGCATGGGCTGGGGGAGGCCACCTTTCAAGCAAAAGCCAAAGCAGCTTGGGCACTGGGAGCTTTGGTGGAAGAGCAACCCCAAGGAGGTCAAGGTACCCCTACATCCTGAGACTTAACCCTGAGGTACCCACAGAAGGTTCAGAAGCCCTTCATTCCACAGCTCTTCTCCAGGCCTCCAAAAACATGAGAACTTGAGCTCAAACCCTGGCCCTGGCAGAGCAGTGGCACCCTCTGGAACAGCCTCAAAGCTCCCCTGCCAGTGCCCACCTATTGAACCAACGCTGACAGACCTTCACCATTCATCCAGCCAATGTCCTCGCCTTCTGTAGTGTAGCAGGAAGGCCCAGTAAGACAGAGCGACTTAGCCAAAAATCACATTGTCCTCATACCTGGGACCACTGAGCAGTCTTTAATGACCTAGCCACAGGTACGGCATTCAACCTCCTTATCCCTCTGTCAGTTGATCCTTCAGGAGAAGAGCCACCCTGACTATAGCCTCTGGCAGACTGGCCTTCTCACTGATTACTCCTGCCTTCCCACCCAAAGGCAGTCCCAAGGCTACTGGGCATCTGCTAAGGCCCCCACCGTAGCAGCCCCCACAGCTGTCGACTCCCCAGAGGAAACCCCAGAGGAAATACACTCCCCAGTTACCCACTCCCTGCTAGCAAGACAGATTTGGATTCAAGACCTCCCTTAGGTGACTGCCGCTCCTGCCCCTGGCTGCCAGCAGGCTTACCTGTGGGCCCTGCTGCCCTGTGAAAGACATCGGAAGAGCGACAGGTGAGGCCACCACAGTCCCAAAGGATGGCGCTTTCCCACCCAAGCCCCCAGGAACCCCCACCCTGCATGCTGCAGCCGGCTGGCCTGCAGGCCCTCGCCTCAGGGAGCTGGGCTCTGGGTGGGGCAGGGGAGCAGCCTGGCTCCTCGCCTCCTTCCTCGGATCCATCCTTAGCCAGGGCTGCTTTTCTCCAGCTCACCTGAGATGCTCCTGCAAGGGAGGCTTTGGTTGGCTCCTCCTGCTCCTGTTTATCTCGAAGGCTCTGCAGCAAATTTTCCCAAACTGAACAGCAAGAGGGAGACCTCAAAGAGGCGACTCTCTTCCTAGCTGCATCTCTTTCCTAATCCTCTGGGTGCCTTGGAAGAGAAGCTCAGAAGGAAGGAAACGAGATTTTCAACTTTCAGGAACTAGCTCTGCCGCCCTCCGCACAGCTTGGGAGGCCAGCACTCTCAGCCCTTCAGGACTCGATCCAAAAATCCTTCAGCCCTCCATGTTCCCCAAAATGACAGTGTTCCTGTGTGGCTGGAGCCTGCCCCGCTCCGGCAGCTCATTTAAATAGAGCTCATCACAACAACAGTGTTGGTGGAGAAGTGAGTAGCTGCAGGGCCCTGGGGACCCCCTGTTTATACGTAGGAAGAATGATGCAATCTGGGTATCAAAATAGCAATCCAGAATGGAATAACAGGCTCACGCGGCCGCGGTGCCTGCACAGCCAGCGCTCAAGTTGACACACTCTGTCAGCCCCACACTGCAGCCCGCTGACGCCAGACACACTCTCTCACCACTGCGGCTCAAAAATCAGCAGGCGCTGGAGACCTCCCTCCATGCCCCGGCACTGACAGAGGGGGTGGGGGGGGGGGGCTTAGACAGCCATTAAAATCCGTCTGCTACACACTCACCTGCTCCTGCCACTTCACCTGAAGTCCTTATCCTGTGACGTCACAGTCAGTTGCCATAGTGATCAACTGTCCATCACAAGCAGAGGATTAGGACTTCAGATGGAGAAGACATACATTCACCAGGCACAAAGGTCCTGGCAGGTGTCCCTTCAGAGTGCCTCACTCTGCCCCCACCCCTGGAAGGCACGGCCAGACACAGCGGGGGTGGGGGTGGGGGTAGAGAAGGAAGTCAGAGATGACTGGAGGAAAGATACCAGGACAGACTGAAAGTCCAGGTTCGTTTCCAAAGCACAGACCATTGGGGGAGTGGCAGGAAATGAGCTAGGAAAGACTGGCAGGAGAGTAAGCCCCTGAAGGGTCCTGGGTGCAAAGCTAGGAGGCTTGACCTTGATCTAAAAGGCAAAGGCAGCCTGAAAAGGCTCTGGGCTTTCTGATTATCTTGGAAGATTGGTGATAGGGAGGACAAGGAGGAGGTTTGTCCAGCTGAGCATCAGTGAATGCTAACAAAGTAGAAGAGGAAAGAAAAAAGCAGAGTTGTTTCCATGAAAATAAATAGCACATGACCCAGATAAGATGCAAGGATGGCGATGGTCGGCGGGAAAGCAAAAAGAGTCATGTGGATGAGCTGTTAGGAACAGAGAAAGGTCCTAAGAGGAGGTACAGGGCAGCTGGGCTTGCTTTACCTGGACCAACGTTCTCTGGCATCCATCCTTGGCCTAGACGAGTGATTTCCAAATCTGGAGGGTTGGTTCAAAGCCTGAGTCTCTCAAACCCAAATCCCTTGTGTGTATGGAGCTAGTTATTTGCATTTTTAAACAAATATCTCGGGTAGTTCTTAGGCATCCAGACCAGCACTGAACCAAGGATTTAACATTCAGGATTCAGCGGCCTGGACAAGTACAATCGCCTCCTGACAGGTCTTGCATCCAGTCCCTTCTGCTCCCATGATCATTCTCACCAAGCCACAATGACTTTGAGAAATACAGATCACTTCCCGCCCAATCAAAACCTCCAGTGGCTCCCTAGTTGCTTTGTTGGTTGAGATCCTTCAGAGTTTGATCCAAAATTTCCTTTCCAAAGACAGTTTGGAAAATTCCCAAATTCCAGCCCAAAATAAATGCCATCTTGTTTCCAATAATGGCTCTGTGCCTCAGCTTAATGCAGTGGTTCTCAACCTTCCTTATGCCGCTACCCTTTAATGCAGTTCCTCATGTAGTACCCCCCAACCATAAAATTATTTTCGTTGCTACTTCATAACTGTAATTTTGCTACTGTTATGAATTGGGTGACCCCTGAGAAAGGTTCGTTTGACTCCCAAAGGGGTCGCGACCCACAGGTTGAGAACTGCTGACTTAATACTATTCCCTACCTAAAAGTGCCTCCCCCACATCTTTCTGGCCCTGTCTGGCTGCTGCATTGATGTTCCTACTTGACCCTGTATTGATGCATTGATGTTCCACCCACAGGTTTAAATCTACCCAGTTCCCCGAGAAGGAATTTAAAGCAGGTGTCAGCACACTATGGGCTGCCTGTCATGCCCACTCATTTTAATCCTGCCTATGTTGCTTTCATGCTTCAATAGCCGGGGTGCATAGTTGTGACAGGAATCATATGGTCTGCAAACCTCAAAAGACTCCGTATCTGGCTCTTTATAGAAAAATGTTGACCTCTGGCCTAAACCAACAATTGCTTAAATTGCCCCTGCCTCATCCTCTGGGGCTCAAGTTCGGTAAGGAGGTTAATTGTGTCCTCAAGCCCACGCCCTATTCCTTAGGCCCTCTCCCTAGCTGTTAACTGGGTTACATTGGAGCTGGGTCCTCAGCTGTGGGCAGGATGTTACTAAGCCAGCAAGGACATTCCAGATGCAGAGGGACAGTCTAAACAGAAATTGCAGAAGCCCAGCTGTGAGGCTTCTTTGAAGGAAGATGGGTACGGCTAGAACACATAAAGAAAGGCAGGAAATGGGGCTATAAAATTCACTTCACTATGCGGCATGCTTTTCCATTTTTCGGTATAGGAAATCCAGGACTGATGAACCTATAGAGAGAGCAAGTAGAATAAGGGGTTCAGGGGAGGGGGGTCCGTGGTGGTGGTAGGATAAAAGGGAGACAATATCAAGGAGTCCATGTCGTAAAAGAATGTTTGGTGTTAGCACTTGTACAATTCTACTTCATCTGATTAATGAGATGCTATGTGTATTAGATCTACGTGTATTACACTTGGAGTCAGATTGGAAAGAGTCTGGAAGACCATACTCAAAATTGTCTCTCCTGAACTGCAAGTAACGTGGACCCTTTAGGTGGCTGCATACGCAGGCCCCAAATTTGAAGAGACATGATGCAGGGCTAAAGCCAGAGCATCTGTAAGCAAGCCCAAGGAGGCCAGAGGTGAAGGTAGGTCAGGAAAAAAATCACCCCAGAAAAGAGCAGAAAATAAATTGAAGCCAGATAGGGAGATGCACGGCCAGGTAGGAGATCTGAGCCAAGAGTTAGTGTCCAAGCTTGAGAGCCACGGGACTGCTTGTAGCTAGAGGAGAGGGCCTGGTCCATGGCCTTCAGATGTCTGGGACCCACACAGATGTGAACAGACTTGCTGTGTGCAAAAAGTAGCCACAGTGGGATGCAGAAGGTACAGGAAAGATGAGCCCAAGTTTACCTCATCTGATGACCTCAATGACTCAGATGGCCCCTCTACCTCCTTTCACCTTCAAACCCCATAGTGAATACAAGAAGAAATGCATTGGCATACTCCATTCAAGATCATTGACCCCGTTTCCAACTAAGTTTGTACAAAGAGACAGGTGGAGAGCCAAGGGCAGCATCCTACCCTACCTCCGCATTCTCTGCCGAGCCTCAAGCTCTAGTCAAGGGAGTTGGGCTTCTGCTCTGTCTCTGCAGAAGACGCACAATGTGCCTTTAGCAGGATCCTAACCCTTTCTGGCCTCCCGATGGCCAGGTCATGCAGTGAGAGGCTAGAGATGACCTCTAAGAGCTTTTCCCATTTCCTAGTCCCCTTGAAGAAGAGAAAGCCCTAGTTCTAAGACTCGGTCCCTTAATCCCAGACACCTCAAACTCCCTCTTCTCAGCAAATCTGTTCCAGCTGTCATCTTCCAGCAGTACTAGCAGCAGCAAGCACGTCCTCCCCCCTACCCCACCCCACCCCCAAACACAGCCTGCCTCCTTTCCATCGCCAAGGGAATTGTTCTCCCAGTAACCAGTACTGTTCTGAGGTGCCAGTGCTACTCCCAGGACCCCAGAGAGCCAATTAGGGTGAGGAAACTGTTCATGAGGAAAAAAGCCATCCGGCTGACAGGGCTCCGGAGCTCCAGCTTCTGCACCTGCTACACACCTATCTCAGCCCCCGTTCGGTGGCCTGCCCTCCACCTACAGAGGTCACGGCCCACGGATGACCCCGCCAGGTGGAGCACACTGCTTAACACCTGACACTAGCAGGTGGCAGTCACCCCATCTCTCACAGCCCTGTGGCTGGGCTCTTAGCCCCCACCTCCCACTCTCACCGCAGGCCATTAGAGCCCCTCCAGCTGAGCTGCTCATTAAGAGTCATTTCCCTCTCTGACTCCAAGGTTGTAGCATCTTGCATCAGGTCCCTTCTCTTTGGATCTTCCCAAAGCCCCAAGGCCTGCCCACAAAGGGACAGTGATTGCTCCCCCCTTTCAGCATTTGTAGTGTCCAGGGGACATGCTGTTACCACCCTCCACTGGCACCAGGAAGCAAGAGGCTAAGGGGTTATGTGGTGTTCTTGGGGCTCATCATTTCCAGCCCTGCAAGCCAGAGAGGGTCTGAGGTCACTCAGTCACTAGGCTAGAGTCCAGGTGAGCTCCCGAGCTCCCGGGGCTGTGCCTTCCTGAACAGGGCTCTTCCCACATCCTCATTCTCCCCCGGTGCACATGTTAAAGCAAGAAACTAAACAAGCAGGTTTTGGAATTTGGATTTCAGAATCAAAGGCTCTAAGCCAGGATTTGTCTTTTAGTAAATTCAAAAAGAAAGAATCGATAATGTTCCTTTAA